TGTACACATCTCTGTGTGTGTTCGACCATCAGTTCCGATTAAGTTCACCAAGTGCACCAACAGGTTGGTAAAGATAGTGACAGCTTCAGAAGGTAGATTATAATGACAGCAGATGTATTTAGCTCCAACCGCACTCCTCACCTTCACCCGGAGTCAAAAAGACTAAACAGGGCCCGGCGTGGGCTGCTTTCTCCAGTGCAAGCCAGAAACACCGCCTAACTTAGTCTTAGATGACAGTAGCCTTTTGCGCGGGTACTACTGCACTACCTACCCTCACTCACCCCTAGTAGGTGTCAAGCCAAGCTCAAAGAAGCCGAAATTGATATGGCTACTACTATTTTGTAGTAGTACTGACTATCAATGTAGCCGAGTCTAAGTAGTACTGGTGCTATTTCCGACGCTAACATTAGTCAGAGGGGACGCTGATTTGAAATCAACACTGGGGCTCATACCTCCTTTGTTCTCAAAAAGGATTGTGAAATTTCGGTGCATGTTATTTCGAGTAAATACATGTTTGAGGCCCTGAGCACATGAGGGTTTGTCTTGGTCTCTCAACTCTATCCTCCCAGATTGTGTCCGTTTTCACTGGGAATTAGATTACGAGGACTAGGATACTGCTGCTATAAGTACTTGCCCATGCTAAAGTGCTAATTTTAGTAACCATAATTACTAAGATCAGTAACTAATATGTTATGATATGGCCTGTAGGAAGCCGGCACCCAGTATGCACTCCCAATGTGTATGGAGTAAAGTAGATTAATAGTTTATGGGTTAAGATAAAGCGTTATTAACTAATAGCACAAAGTGCTACCATACCTTTATGTTTTACGTAGTGCCTTTTGCCGTCTATAAGCTGTCTACAGGCCTACTACAACGCCTAAATTGCGATGGAATAAGCATAATCGTAGGGTACCGTCTTGCTACACTGCTATTAACACATCTGTACGTATTTCTTCGCCGTGCCCCCTTCCTCCGGTTAGGACTTGAGACCAAACACCTTCAGGGTCTACAGGAGTCTCTTGGTCGTGCGACTCGTATAACCTGGGACCGAGCCCTCCTTCGTGGTCTCCGCGAGGCCCGACGTCTGCTCACTCAGGGCCTCGCTTTCAACGAGAATTCCGCCTTTCTCTTGCTGGAGCTGCTCAAGTGTGAAGCCTCTGCCGCAGACTTCTTCCGGGAGCGTGTCATTCTACGACGTCAGCAAGCTAGCGCTGAACCCGCGGTGGAGACATCGTCCTCCCGGAAAGATGGGAGTGCTATTCGGTCACAGCAGACGGACAGGGATGACGCCATCGCCTTTGTAAGTCACTCTCTCCCCTCCTCTGGGCCCGTTTAACCCTTTTTCACGTTTTTTCCTGTTAGAGGAGTAAACACGCTGTTTTGGCCTGTATGTTAGATGGGCTGTCTCATGAACTGGTATCCAAAATTTTGCGGTGTGTTTTCGGTTAAGGAATACTGTAATATTTGTTGTCTTAAACCATACTCCTAAGATTTTTAAATCACGTCTAGTGGTCGGCTTTTAAACAAGCCTCCTGCAGCAGGTACGTTGTAAAAATGACTGCCTATTCGTTCCATTATTATTTTCATGCCCTTATACATTCGAGTATATCTTGGACAAAGCATAAACAAAAATATTCTTTCGTGTACTCATTTGGTGACAGCTAACGTCATCAAATGTTTTACTTGAAGAAAGGGTTTGGTTTTAAAAGTTGCTAATTATGAGACTTTCGAGACCGTACAACGCCTTCTTATAAAGTGTCGTATCTTTTCATTTACTAATACTGCTTCTAAAGGACATTATATGGTCTACATTCATCGCAGCTGTTTACGAGCCCTATATTGATTCTTCTAAATAGTATATATAAATGCAAGCTTTGGATTTAGAAACACTGAACCCAGGTTTGCTTGGATTCAAGAGCATTCAGAATTTTTTTTAAAGAATTGTAATTTTTCCTTCTTCGAGTAAAAAAGTAAGGAATACGTAATTTTCTGCAAACGAGTACAAAAAAGAATATTTTTTATGCATGTCTTCTATCAAATGCATTTTAACCTATGAGGACATTGAAAACCACTGGCAAAGTACATGTTATCTAAGTAGTATTTTAGAGTGTGCTTGCTTCAAGCGACTAGAAGGGCGTTCGTTCAAAAGCCTGCGTGCTGTCGTGACTGAAAACCTTGGGATTCTGTTGGACGATAATTAATATTACAACTCTACTTGAGTAATTTTTTCTAATCGAGCACATATTTCAGAGTTTCGAATGACACTTAATGAGAGGGCACGTCTGCTGTATTTCTCGTGTTGCCAACATATACCGTCTAGATTACAAGTATCTAACAGTATAACAGTATATAACAGTATCATTACTATTAACTGGCGGTTTTTCCTATTTCCACAACTAGCGATGCAACACTCATGGTGCGCGTGGGAATAATCACCACAAA